TCCCCTACAGGGGTAAAGATTCTCAGTCTGGATTTGTAGGGGATTTGACACGGTTTTCAAATCCCCTACAAATAGTTGTGCATTGTTCCTAGGAGTGGCCTGAGTAGGTTGGGAGGTCGAAACTTGATTTTTCTGATGGTTTGGAACAGGCACTAACTATTTAAACCCCTAAACCTGTTCCAAATACCCCGGAACATAAATCCCCTACAGGGGTAAAGATTTTCAATCTTGATTTTACCTGGATTTTAGCTATTTTGGGATGGGCGTGGCCCCTGGGAGTGGCTTGAGTGGGTTGGGAAGTCGAAACTTGATTTTCCTGATGGTTTGGGACAGGTACTACCCATTTAAATTACACAAAAACATGTTCCAAATACCCCGGAACATAAATCCCCTACAGGGGTAAAGATTTTCGATCTTGATTTTACCTGGATTTCAGCTATTTTGGGATGGGCGTGGCCCCTGGGAGTGGCCTGAGTGGGTTGGGAGGACGAAACTTGATTTTTCTGATGGTTTGGGACAGGTACTAACTATTTAAACCCCTAAACCTGTTCCAAATACCCCGGAACATAAATCCCCTACAGGGGTAAAGATTCTCAGTCTGGATTTGTAGGGGATTTGACACGGTTTTCAAATCCCCTACAAATAGTTGTGCATTCTTCCTAGGAGTGGCCTGAGTGGGTTGGGAGGTCGAAACTTGATGGTTTGGTACAGGTACTAACTATTTAACCACCTAAACTTGTTCAAAATACCCCGGAACATAAATCCCCTACAGGGGTAAAGATTTTCAATCTTGATTTTACCTGGATTTTAGCTATTTTGGGATGGGCGTGGCCCCTGGGAGTGGCTTGAGTGGGTTGGGAAGTCGAAACTTGATTTTCCTGATGGTTTGGGACAGGTACTACCCATTTAAATTACACAAAAACATGTTCCAAATACCCCGGAACATAAATCCCCTACAGGGGTAAAGATTTTCGATCTTGATTTTACCTGGATTTCAGCTATTTTGGGATGGGCGTGGCCCCTGGGAGTGGCCTGAGTGGGTTGGGAGGACGAAACTTGATTTTTCTGATGGTTTGGGACAGGTACTAACTATTTAAACCCCTAAACCTGTTCCAAATACCCCGGAACATAAATCCCCTACAGGGGTAAAGATTCTCAGTCTGGATTTGTAGGGGATTTGACACGGTTTTCAAATCCCCTACAAATAGTTGTGCATTGTTCCTAGGAGTGGCCTGAGTAGGTTGGGAGGTCGAAACTTGATTTTTCTGATGGTTTGGAACAGGCACTAACTATTTAAACCCCTAAACCTGTTCCAAATACCCCGGAACATAAATCCCCTACAGGGGTAAAGATTTTCAATCTTGATTTTACCTGGATTTTAGCTATTTTGGGATGGGCGTGGCCCCTGGGAGTGGCTTGAGTGGGTTGGGAAGTCGAAACTTGATTTTCCTGATGGTTTGGGACAGGTACTACCCATTTAAATTACACAAAAACATGTTCCAAATACCCCGGAACATAAATCCCCTACAGGGGTAAAGATTTTCGATCTTGATTTTACCTGGATTTCAGCTATTTTGGGATGGGCGTGGCCCCTGGGAGTGGCCTGAGTGGGTTGGGAGGACGAAACTTGATTTTTCTGATGGTTTGGGACAGGTACTAACTATTTAAACCCCTAAACCTGTTCCAAATACCCCGGAACATAAATCCCCTACAGGGGTAAAGATTCTCAGTCTGGATTTGTAGGGGATTTGACACGGTTTTCAAATCCCCTACAAATAGTTGTGCATTCTTCCTAGGAGTGGCCTGAGTGGGTTGGGAGGTCGAAACTTGATGGTTTGGTACAGGTACTAACTATTTAACCACCTAAACTTGTTCAAAATACCCCGGAACATAAATCCCCTACAGGGGTAAAGATTTTCAATCTTGATTTTACCTGGATTTTAGCTATTTTGGGATTGGCGTGGCCCCTGGGAGTGGCTTGAGTGGGTTGGGAAGTCGAAACTTGATTTTCCTGATGGTTTGGGACCGGTACTACCCATTTAAATTACACAAAAACATGTTCCAAATACCCCGGAACATAAATCCCCTACAGGGGTAAAGATTTTCGATCTTGATTTTACCTGGATTTCAGCTATTTTGGGATGGGCGTGGCCCCTGGGAGTGGCCTGAGTGGGTTGGGAGGTCGAAACTTGATTTTTCTGATGGTTTGGGACAGGTACTAACTATTTAAACCCCTAAACCTGTTCCAAATACCCCGGAACATAAATCCCCTACAGGGGTAAAGATTCTCAGTCTGGATTTGTAGGGGATTTGACACGGTTTTCAAATCCCCTACAAATAGTTGTGCATTGTTCCTAGGAGTGGCCTGAGTAGGTTGGGAGGTCGAAACTTGATTTTTCTGATGGTTTGGAACAGGCACTAACTATTTAAACCCCTAAACCTGTTCCAAATACCCTGGAACATAAATCCCCTACAGGGGTAAAGATTTTCAATCTTGATTTTACCTGGATTTCAGCTATTTTGGGATGGGCGTGGCCCCTGGGAGTGGTTTGAGTGGGTTGGGAAGTCGAAACTTAATTTTTCTGATGGTTTGGGACAGGTACTACCCATTTTTACACAAAAACATGTTCCAAATACCCCGGAACATAAATCCCCTACAGGGGTAAAGATTTTCAATCTTGATTTGTCCTGGATTTAAGTTGTTTTGGGATGGGCATGGCCCCTGGGAGCGGCCTGAGTAGGTTGGGAGGTCGAAACTTGATTTTTCTGATGGTTTGGGACAGGTACTAACTATTTAAACCCCTAAACCTGTTCCAAATACCCCGGAACATAAATCCCCTACAGGGGTAAAGATTTTCAATCTTGATTTTACCTGGATTTCAGCTATTTTGAAATGGGCGTGGCCCCTGGGAGTGGCCTGAGTAGGTTGGGAGGTCGAAACTTGATTTTTCTGATGGTTTGGGACAGGTACTAACTATTTAAACCCCTAAACCTGTTCCAAATACCCCGGAACATAAATCCCCTACAGGGGTAAAGATTTTCAATCTTGATTTTACCTGGATTTCAGCTATTTTGGGATGGGCGTGGCCCCTGGGAGTGGCCTGAGTAGGTTGGGAGGTCGAAACTTGATTTTTCTGATGGTTTAAGACAGGTACTAACTATTTAAACCCCTAAACCTGTTTTAAATACCCCGGAACATAAATCCCCTACAGGGGTAAAGATTCTCAGTCTGGATTTGTAGGGGATTTGACACGGTTTTCAAATCCCCTACAAATAGTTGTGCATTGTTCCTAGGAGTGGCCTGAGTAGGTTGGGAGGTCGAAACTTGATTTTTCTGATGGTTTGGAACAGGCACTAACTATTTAAACCCCTAAACCTGTTCCAAATACCCTGGAACATAAATCCCCTACAGGGGTAAAGATTTTCAATCTTGATTTTACCTGGATTTCAGCTATTTTGGGATGGGCGTGGCCCCTGGGAGTGGTTTGAGTGGGTTGGGAAGTCGAAACTTAATTTTTCTGATGGTTTGGGACAGGTACTACCCATTTTTACACAAAAACATGTTCCAAATACCCCGGAACATAAATCCCCTACAGGGGTAAAGATTTTCAATCTTGATTTGTCCTGGATTTAAGTTGTTTTGGGATGGGCATGGCCCCTGGGAGCGGCCTGAGTAGGTTGGGAGGTCGAAACTTGATTTTTCTGATGGTTTGGGACAGGTACTAACTATTTAAACCCCTAAACCTGTTCCAAATACCCCGGAACATAAATCTCCTACAGGGGTAAAGATTCTCAGTCTGGATTTGTAGGGGATTTGACACGGTTTTCAAATCCCCTACAAATAGTTGTGCATTGTTCCTAGGAGTGGCCTGAGTAGGTTGGGAGGTCGAAACTTGATTTTTCTGATGGTTTGGAACAGGCACTAACTATTTAAACCCCTAAACCTGTTCCAAATACCCCGGAACATAAATCCCCTACAGGGGTAAAGATTTTCAATCTTGATTTTACCTGGATTTTAGCTATTTTGGGATGGGCGTGGCCCCTGGGAGTGGCCTGAGTAGGTTGGGAGGTCGAAACTTGATTTTTCTGATGGTTTGGGACAGGTACTAACTATTTAAAACCCTAAACCTGTTCCAAATACCCCGGAACATAAATCCCCTACAGGGGTAAAGATTTTCAATCTTGATTTTACCTGGATTTCAGCTATTTTGGGATGGGCGTGGCCCCTGGGAGTGGGATTTGACACGGTTTTCAAATCCCCTACAAATAGTTGTGCATTGTTCCTGGGACTGGCCTGAGTGGGTCAAGAGGTCGAAACTTGGTTTTGTGATTGTTTGGGTCAGGTTCTTCATATCTAATCACCAAATCATGTTCCAAATACCACGGAACTTAAATCCCCTACAGGGGTAAAGATTCTCAGTCTGTATTTTAGGGGACTTCAGCTGTTTTGGGATGGGCGGCCTGAGTGGGGTTGGATGTGTTATTTAGTTATCGGTTATATTTATATCTTATTGTGTCTAAATACGAGCAGTTTAGTGAGACCTCTAAAATCTTATTTTCGTAAATTCTACTATTATAAATATTGTAACGTACGTGCGACGCGCACAATCCCCTACAAAATCCCCTACAAAATTCAGGGAAACGTCTTCTGATGTCATATCTGGAACGCGCAAGCAAGCCACACATAAGAAAACTGGCGCGCGCAATTCGATCTGATCGATCGATCTGCATGCATGCATGCATGATCGATCTTATATAGCTTGCTTGAATTGAATTGCATGATATCCAGCTGATGATATTTATAATGGTGTTTAGCTTGCACGATATTATAGATTCGCTCTGAGCTCTCTATAACTGTACACTGTACAGTCCCTAAAAATATGAAATGCATAAATATTGAAAATATGTCTAATCATCATTATTATCCAATAACAATAATACAATTTTATATATAATCTCACGGCCACATATTTGATAAAATTAACATTCAATATTTTCAGCTAAACAAACCGCATGCGATACTAGACAGTGGCACAACTAATCTTCTCCTGCCAACAGTTGTGTACTTCAAGGTCCTGGCGGCTATTGAGTCATTTTCGTACATCGCAGCTAATGGTTCGAAGGTGGGATATGGAGAACATTTGTAAAAATATCTAGAATTCAAATAGAGAGAGATTGTTTTTATGCTCTTTTTGTTTTTAAAAGTGTAATTCAAATAAAAAGCGCGAGATTAGCATGACTTTATGTGTATTAAATATATTCTAATTTCTACTCAACATCAGAATGGAGTGACTCACGCAGACATTAACAAATTCATTGTACGAGAGAATTTCCTTTGCAAAGAAGACCTACAGTCTGTAATATTCACGTGGTTCCCAGAAATTGTGGTGAACGTAGCTTACAATAAGACTCATCAGTTCGCGGTCAATATCCCACCACAGGTTTACTTTTCAGCACTTTTCACCACTCCCAACCTTAATTTATTACGAGATTTAATTAAATTCGAGTGTATGCGCTCTCATCCCCTAAGTTGATAGGGGTCCTGGTGTTTTGTGAATATTGTTGATTAATTGGTAAAAACCACCAGAGCTAAATTGATCTTGTTTTCAGCAATACGTCAGACAAACTATGGACAGTATCAACAAACAGGGGCAGATGAGTGATAAAACTAAGTGCTATATGTAAGAAGATCAGTATTTGTATACTACTGAGATATTTTTTATATCTCTGAGAAATATCAAAGTTTAAAAGTATAAGTTCTCTCCATACATACATTGAACGTTCTGCTCATTTTGCTCCAGGGCAGAAAGTTCAAATCCGCTCTGGGGCTATAATATCAAAACCTATCTCAAAACTTAACATTTTCTACAAAGTAATACAGGAAACAATATCTTTGAAAATGAATACAGAAAATGCCCGAAAGTAGTCTTACGATCTAAAAAATTCACAACTCCCACTTATTCCTGTGCAGGTTTGGAGTGCAGAAGAGTGAAGCTGGTACGATACTGGGTGCAGCTTTTCTAGAACGACTTACTGTTCTGCACGACAGAATTACCGGAAGAGTAGGGTTCAAGATAGCTACCAGTTGTCAGGGTGAGTTTAACCAATAAGAGAGCTGTATTCTAGTCACGTGATACTTGCTAACCAATAATAGAGCTGTATTCTAGTCACGTGATACTAGCTAACCAATAAGAGAGCTGTATTCTAGTCACGTGATACTAGCTAACCAATAAGAGAGCTGTATTCTAGTCACGTGATACTAGCTAACCAATAAGAGAGCTGTATTCTAGTCACGTGATACTAGCTAACCAATAAGAGAGCTGTATTCTAGTCATGTGATACTAGCTAACCAATAAGAGAGCTGTATTCTAGTCACGTGATACTAGCTAACCAATAAGAGAGCTGCAATAGTAGCAACCTCGTAATTTAAAAATGAATGTTGAAGGAGTTAAATTAAATTGTTTCGAAAAGCTGTGAGGAATTCTTTATTATATGTCCTCATCTTTTTCAGTTTCGGATCCAGTGTTCGAAAAGACCATGTCAGGTCCTAATTTGAGAACCGACGAAGGTAATTTCAATAAAAAGTTTCGATTTTAAAATTTCAAAATGCCAGCTTAAATGCAGTTTTATTATAGCTAGTACACATTTTGATACTAGCTAGATTTAGAGTACACTCAAAAGATAGCTGCTACACTTCGCTTGTATCGTGTTATGTTGCAGTTGTGTTTATCGGGCCTGGGTAGCTCCTTTACATGATATGTATCAAAGAGCCAAAATGCTAAACAGAGCAGTCCATGAAAATACATCTTCCCAAATTAGGAAAACTGATGGTTATTATAATTACCACACAAACTCCACCAAATATTACCTTGATGATCTTACAATTACCATGATAACTCCAAAATCACCACGACAACCAGCAAATTACCCGGACAACCCCCCAGGTTGCCTGGTCCCACCACACTCTGCTTTACCAACAGTCGCGCTCACAGTAACGCTGACGCTAATCCTGACCACGCTGTGCTGTATTGCGTGTTGGTGGCACAACGAAGCGCTAAAAGCGCAGCTTGCGGCGCTGTGTCTGCGTTTTAAGCGCACTCAGAACTACACTTACATGTTGAACAGTGAGGATGAGGATGAGAGTAGTCTGCAGATGGAACTGGATGAGATCAGGACTGATATTACTCAGTGAACCAATCAGAGAGTGTTTTCTAGTCACGTGGTTAAAATCCGACCAATCAGAGAACTGTATTTCAGTCCCATGATTGAAAGCTGACCAATCACTAATGGTGCACTTTGAACTGTATTTCGTTTCTCTTAAATCAAATAACAGAGACCACAGAACATTTTATTTTTCTATTTTGACATAAAATAATCAAACACCCCACAAACACACTCCTTACTTCCCCACCTAGTCACCACCACCACCACTAACTCTGCCACTCAAAACGCTGCCTGCTGGCTCAACGGCTAAAGATGTCAACCGGCTGTCCTTTTAGGTCATACCAACCAATCAGAGAGCTTTATGAAGTAGACTCGTGACACAAACTAACCAATCAGGTGCGTCGTCCTGTCTGGAGTCAGGTGAAGCCCCCGCATGGCTCGTGTCAGTTATCGCCCTCTCCGTAGGAGCAGCAATCGTGCTGTCTGTAAGTCTGTGGTATCTTTGGAAAAGTCGTCACAATATCTGTAAATGCGGGAGCAAGAGTGAGGAGGGGCGGGTAACAGAATGCCGCGCAGAGAAACGTGTATCTGTGGCAGCTGTCGGTAATAAGGCACGGAGAATGTCAAATGTGGATAGTGGGAACACTAACAGTATTCTTGCGGGGCTGCAAGGAGGGGAGGATGATGTTGGGGGTGGTAGTATGGATGTTATCGAGGAGGATGAGGTGGTTGTTGATGAGGGTGGGCTGTGTGATGAGATTCCTGATTATGGGGTAAATACTGTAGTGTTGGAGTCTCTAACCGGGCGGGATGTTGAGGTTACTCAAGCTGGTCAGGTCGGAGTGGTTAATTCTGATGAAGAAGATATGGGGTATGAGAGTCATGAAACATTAGAGGATCAGAATGATGGGGAGAATGATCATGGTGGTGTGATTGTCAATAAGGATGATCAGGAGAATGCAGAAGAGAAGGAAACGGTGGATGAGGAGCTTGAAAAGGAGGAGGAAGTGAAGGATGTGGCAGAGAAGGAGGAGGATGTTGAGAGTTATGAGGAGACACAGGAGAATGGAGAATCAAATGTAGAAACATTACCGTTAGATCAACAACAACAAGATCATGATGATGATGTAAAAGAACCGGAAGAGATGGAATATGACTCGCAGCAGAACGATCAACCGAAGGAAAATGAGTTGGAGTCGGTTACCAAGGCAGCAGAAGAAAATGAGTTGGAATCTGCTACCATGGCAAAGGAAGAAAACGAGTTGGAATCGGTTGCCAAGGCAGCAGCAGAAAATGAGTTGGAATCGGCTACCATGACAACTGAAGAAAACGAGTTGGAATCGGTTGTCAAGGCAGCCGAAGAAAATGAGTTGGAATCGGCTACCATGACAACTGAAGAAAACGAGTTGGAATCGGTTGCCAAGGCAGCAGAAGAAAATAAGTTGGAATCTGCTACCATGGCAACGGTTGAAAATGAGTTGGAATCGGTTACTAAGGCAGCAGAAGACAATGAATTGAAATCGGCTACCATGACAACAGAAGGAAACGAGTTGGAATCGGTTGGCAAGGCAGCAAAAGAAAATGAGTTGGAATCGGCAGCCATAACAACGGAACAAAATGAGTCAGAATCAATTTCTAAAGCAACGGAAGAGAATGAGTTGGAATCGGTAATTATAGAAACAGAAGAGAATGAATTAAAGTCGATAACCATAGAAAGAGGAAGAAAAGAGTCCAATTCGGAAGAGCGAGCTGTGTTAGCAGCACTAGCTGACTCCGTGAGAGGAACAGAAGACAGCAGTACTGAGGAGTGGGACTCGGACTCCGGGGAATCCCAGTCAGAGGAGAAATCGAAGTCCGTCGAGGACTCTGATTCGGACGACAATGCATTTGTGAGAGTTGGTAATAATAGTGATATTGCAACAGAAAAATTAGAATGTGATCTGGAGAATGTAGAGGTACAATCACCGAACAACTTCACTGGTGATGAAAATGATGACGTACCTATTCATATTGATTGGAATGATTGACAAGAGTTTCCTTCTACATACGATACACACTTCACGCGATGTTTACATTTCATAGCATGTTAAATATCAGAAGTGCTCACTGATAAAGTTCTAATATTATTTTATTTTTAGCTTCACTTTCGTTTCACCAGACTTAGAAGGTAGATGTACGCTTGAAGCTGCTTAGTATATTTAGTAAAACTGGGCAGTAAATATACGACTCTAAATTTGATTTCAATTTGGTTGCATGTGTAGTGTTTTTTTTTGCTATTTTTACGATTTGTTATTTTTAATTTCACTCCATTTTTAATTTGAGATGATTGGGCTCAAAGGGGGTTTTTGAAGTTGCCCTATTTCAATGCTGAATTGCTGTATTATTATATGAAACATTCAAATCTCCATAAATTAGACTATCCAAAATCGATCGTCTTATTTCGCTTTTGTCTCATGGCGAATTTAATTCTGTACTCGGTTGCGCGCTCACTACACACTAAATCGCTTACCCTAAAATGAGAACGAACCACTCTGACTGCTGATAAAAAGAGTTTTGATATCTATATAGACTTATCAAGTGGCCTTTTTTATGATCCAAGATAAATCGCTCGCCCTTTTTTATGATCCAAGATGGCTTAATATCTGGTCTCTGAAAACCACAAATGTTGACTTGTCCGCGGGCGCGGATCGTTTTGAGTGAACTTTCAAGGCCACACCATGTGGTTCGCCGGGGCCAAAATTATCATAGATAACTATTACCTGGGGACCTCAGGCTATTATTTTCATAAACAATAGAGATTCGGCGGAATGACAGGCTGAGCGCGGCCCAGTAAAGATAACTAACCACTAACGCGCATTTAGGAGACGCGCGAAAGTTGTCACTGTTGGCATGGTTTGGGCGAGCGAATTAGTTTAACGGGTGATACTCGTAAAATATTTGTTCCATATATTGGAACCGTCGAAGTCCAACTTGGCGCGCGTCCTGGTAGGTTGTAAACCTACAAGAATTAGTAAGAGCCCATGACAACCACATTACTTTGCAAAGTTAAAAAGCTGCGATCGATCTTTTATTTAGCCCAAAATCAAACTTCTTGGTTTAATTCGAAATCTAATTTGTCCCAAATTTTGCTCCTGGGGAGCTAACTTTAAATTTACGAGATGGAAATCTTGTTGAAAACCGGAAGGCTAGGTTCTATAGATATTTTACTTTTGGAGATAGACCCCAGCCGGTAGGGTTTGCTGGGACTTTATAATGTTTTACCCATTACCGGGTGATACTAGACGACTCGTGAAATATAATATTTGTTTCAAATATTAAAGACCGTCGACGAGTCCAACTCGGCGCGTCTTAGTAGGTTTTAAACCTACAATTAATGACGAACCCTGTATTTAGCACGATGTGTTACTGGACCTGGGCCGCGCATCAAATAATGCAAATGCTTCTCGCAACCACATCTTCGTTAGATCGGCGAGATGCGCTACTGGGCCCCGCCGAACTGAGAAGAATTGACATCGTCAATCCAACCAGCAAGCTAGGTAAATAACGCGCGAAACTCATCGACGATGTTATTAATTCGAATATTATATCACCCGTTTCTTGATTATTTTTGCTAGAATAAAGAAAAATCCTTTGTTTCATAGTAAATCGTTAAAACTTTGCAATGAAATACTCAAACTAAAACGAGACAATAACTTAGAAAAAACGTGTGACAAGTCTGGCAAAAACTAATAACAAAAAACAAAAGCTATCAACATTTACATAATTTATTTGTATTATTGTAACCTATAAAACTAACCAGCTGAATGATTCGTTATAACCAAGCTTTTAAAAATAATCTATTTATATAATGCATAAAGACTGGGAAATTTTAACCTAAAAACGAAACCGTGCAGCAGTTTTATGTTTTACTGCACCAATTACATTTTAGTAGGTCATGAATAAGAGAACATGATTGATGGATCCAGAAACTAAAACCCTAAATCAACTATCAGCCTATCCGTTTAGCGTCAACAAATAAATGCTAATCAAACAGATCTTAACAGAACAATTCAATCTTCCATCTTTGCCCCATATTATTTAACTAGATTTCAGGTTGTTAGTAAACAGTTCAAATAACTCTGGGTCACGGTGTGCAGTGCTGTGTTTAACGACACGTGACGTCACACATATGATGATATCACGTGACGTCACACTTCTCAGCCCACAATCTCACGTGACGTCACAATCTCACGTGACGTCACCATCTCACGTGACGTCACAGCTCCCCACGAGTAAAGGTATTAAATAAGTTTTCCTGTTTCCTGTCTGATTCCTCAGCAGGTCCGGCTTCCTCTTTGTAATCCATCTGGTCTTTGAACACTTTGACGTAGTGTAAAGAGTGGGATAACCTGGGGTCACGTGATGTTATTAACATTGTTATTTGTTTGCATTGCATTGTTAAAATTTTTAACAACAAATTTTAATGTCACTGAAAATCTCGGTAAACTAAAATTTTTCTGGCAAATAGCGAACAAACTTAAGTGGCAAAACATATTACATGGGTCCTGATTTTAATTAATATCACTAGTATCTCGGTATAAATTAACAAATTAATGGCAAAACAAATTAAAAACGATTATTAAACTAACTGAGTTAATTAAATAATTAAATAATTAAATAATTAAATAATTAAATAATTAAATAATTAAATAATTAAATAATTAAATAATTAAATAATTAAATAATTAAATAATTAAATAATTAAATAATTAAATAATTAAATAATTAAATAATTAAATAATTAAATAATTAAATAATTAAATAATTAAATAATTAAAAACGATTATTAAACTAACTGATTAAAAGCGTTGAACAGAGTCACAACTTCTCCCCTCTCCAAATTAAGGTTCTCAGGTTTCCCTCCGCTAAATAAGATCTTTAGTGCAGTTCCCAGACCTCGTATCTGCGAAACGAAATCATTGAATATTGGTCAGTCATATTAAGTGAATTTATCAATGAAGGAAACGATAAGTTTTGAAAAGTTTCAATTTTTTAATCGTCATGAGATGTGGTAATTGGTCATTTAACATACCTGTATTTTGCCCCATAATCTGCACTTGTCACATGTTACACAGTCCATTATCTGGGATATGTTCCGGAAATGAACCAGAAATTCATTCAGGATCTCCTCGGCAGCTGGGCCTGTAATTATCATAATTCAACATTAAATTAAGGTAAATTATAATATGGGAATCACTGACATTTTCGCCATTGACGACAATATGTTTTTCTGGGAGATAAGTTGACAAAAGTTTTCCGCCATATTTGCATTTTTAATTATCTCAGTCCCACAATCACCCAATTACCAATTATTCCATAATTACCCAATTACCAATTATTCCATAATTACCCAATTACTAATTATTCCATAATTACCCAATTACCAATTATTCCACAATTACCCAATCACCCCACCTTTGAAGAGCTGTTCCTCGTCGAAAGTATCAGGACACGAGAGCAGCCCCTCAACAATACTGATGGTATTTTCTTTAGTCTTGATATCCTCCTCCGGCTTACCCGTATGGAAATCCCACCTTTTCCACAGCGGCAGAGCCTGGTGTGTGATTAGGAGTTAATGTCACGTGATGAGGAGTTAATGTCACGTGATTAGGAGTTAATGTCACGCGATTAGGAGTTAATGTCACGTGATTAGGAGTTAATGTCACGTGATGAGGAGTTAATGTCACGTGATTAGGAGTTAATGTCATGTGATGAGGAGTTAATGTCACGTGATGAGGAGTTAATGTCACGTGATGAGGAGTTAATGTCACGTGATTAGGAGTTAATGTCACGTGATTAGGAGTTAATGTCACGTGATGAGGAGTTAATGTCACGTGATGAGGAGTTAATGTCACGTGATGAGGAGTTAATGTCACGTGATGAGGAGTTAATGTCACGTGATGAGGAGTTAATGTCACGTGATTAGGAGTTAATGTCACGTGATTAGGAGTTAATGTCACGTGATGAGGAGTTAATGTCACGTGATGAGGAGTTAATGTCACGTGATGAGGAGTTAATGTCACGTGATGAGGAGTTAATGTCACGTGATTAGGAGTTAATGTCACGTGATTAGGAGTTAATGTCACGTGATGAGGAGTTAATGTCACGTGATGAGGAGTTAATGTCACGTGATGAGGAGTTAATGTCACGTGATTAGGAGTTAATGTCACGTGATGAGGAGTTAATGTCACGTGATGAGGAGTTAATGTCACGTGATGAGGAGTTAATGTCACGTGATGAGGAGTTAATGTCACGTGATGAGGAGTTAATGTCACGTGATTTTTTATACTTTTAATACTTTCAACACTACTATATAACAAATAATTTGAGGTGTGACAACATGATTCGGCGGGTCACGCTATAGCAATTGCCGTGTTGAAGAGCTCTATACTACGGGTACGTATTCGTGTTGAGTGCCCTAAAAGGGAGCTGGATATTTCATTGCTGTTATCGTTTGAACGCAGTTTAGCTTGAAGAATTACGCTGTCTGTGTTATTTGAAGAAAAATCGTGATCAATCAGTTATTTCAAAACCTACCCAATAACCCCTACCCTACTACAAGGGTAACTTACTTTCAAGTTTCTGTCGCACATTTTTTCAGACCCGGCTGGATCCAGCATCATACATCGTGTCTGGGTACTGCTCTTTGAAAATGCCAGCGATACTAGAGAATCAGAAAGTTGTGCTTGGAGGTCTTGCAAACATAGCTGATGAGCACGCCAAGAAAGCCCTTGCGAGCTATAGTCCTTCACTGCCTTATGGTGAAAATAAAACTAACGTCAAGAAGTGCAATGCCCAGCAGCTAGAGGCTTGTGCAAAATTAGTTGGACTCAAAGCCAGGTCAGAGGATGGTAAGGAAAAGCTTTATCGAAACCAGGATATCCTGACTGACAGAATAATCCTGAAGATAGAGTCACTATTTGAAGCTGAATGCAGTGACTGCAAGTCAGTGTACCAGAACACACTGGAATCCGCGCCTCTTTTCACCTGCAGATTGTGCCTATTGGGAAGTCACGACTGTGAGGAGCTGAAGAAAAAGGCAACGAGTATGAGTGAAACAAATCCAAAAGGATTTGTCTGGATGTGCCACGTGTGTCTGGAAAAGAATGAATTGGAGGATATGCTGCTTTCATCAAACCCTCCAAAACAAGGCTCACTGAAACCGATTCCGAAACAAGCACTTAGTGCTAGTGTCGACAAACTGGACACTATTACAGAGTCAGAGGAAAATACAGGTAAAAGTGACCATGAGATTGAAAGTGAAGAAGAAAAAGCAGAGTCATCAGAGAGGATAAGCCCACGAAGAGGTCGTGATGAGACAAGGGAGACGAGGGAGAGGAATCCCAATACCTCAGGGCACAAGAAAGAACAAATCTGTGAGCTCTTCAAGAAAAGGGCATGCCCACATGGACGAACTGGCAAAGTCCTTGTAGACGGCAAAACCTGTGAGAGGAGCCACCCTAAGAGATGTTACAAGTTTTGCGACTTTGGGGCCAAGCATCAGAATGGGTGCAAGAAAGGTAAAAAGTGCCTATACTGGCATCCCAGAATATGCAAGTTTTCCATTAAAAACATCAGATGTGAAGACGATCAATGTACCTTTCAACACCTGGTGTTTACCCGCAACGGTCCTGGCCACGGAAAAGAAGAAGAACGAGAGACTTACAGACGAGTAGAAAATACTACTGAGCCCTACAGACGAAATGCGCTTCCCAAATTCAGCATTGCTTCGTCAGGATACACTACGTATCCCCCAACCATCAACAAGCCACGAGTAGAAAACCAAGAGAAGAAGACTGATCAAGATGAGTCTTTTTTATTGAAGCTCATCGAGAACATGAAGGCTGGTTTTCAGGAACAAATCGATGGCCTGAGAAACGAGATTATCATCGGGAGGGGGAAAGAGGTCCAACGCCAACCGATTCCCCAGCAACTGAACCCCACGGAGCTACCATGCCACCCCGCAACTCGAGCTGTTCCGGGACTGCACCCGCCCATCCCATACCCGTACATGATGGCACCACAGTGGTTCAGCCAGAACTTTCCACCATTGTCCTCTTAAATGGACAGAGCGTATCTCCGGCAGCTACTAGCAGCTCTAGATGGAAACTACCCTACATCCAGGAAACCATCATCGAAGGAAGTAGCTGCCCCCCACCATTCATAGCCATAACCGAGTCATGGCTAAAGAGTTACATCTCTGACGCTCAGGTGCAGATAAAAGACTATCAATCGTTTAGATCTGATAGACCAGAGAGAGTAGGAGGAGGTTGCCTCCTCTATGTTCATGACCAGCTAGTGGTGACAGAAACCGATCACTACGAGGATAGAAGCAATAACATGGTCATGTGCTATGTTAAGTCATGCAACACCCTTTTTGCTACTGTCTACAGGCCCCCTGGAGCAGATACTTCAGGCTGGAAGAACTTACTAGACAGACTGCAAGCCAAAATAGACGCGATCTCAGAAAATACAACGGTGCCAGACATATACGTTGTTGGAGATTTCAACTATCCAGAGATAGACTGGGAACATGGAGGCTTAAGAAGTGAAGCCAGGTGTCATGATTTTATAGAGTTTATAGACCGTAACTTTCTAACACAGGTCGTAAACCAGTCGACAAGAGAAGGTAGCACCCTAGATCTTGTACTTACAAATGTTCCTAGGTATGTCGCAGAAGTAAAGGTGAACCCCACATCTTTATCAGACCACAGCTTGGTCGAAATTCAGCTTGGTTTTAATATGACTGGAAGAAAGAAGAACGAAACCAGCAAGATCGACCCAAACTCTTTCAGGGCGGTTGACTATCACAAAGCCGATTTTGTGGCAATCAGTGATTGCCTTCAGAAAGTCGACTGGCTGAAGCTCTGGGAACTCTGTGACGAGGACTTGAACGCTTTTCTGGAATTGTTCAAGCTAACAGTGCTCCAGATAACCTTGGAGTTCTCCCCAAAGAAAGAGAGTGCAGCGGAGATTACCTCAAGAAAGAGAAGAGGGAATAAGCACGTTTATGTCATGAAAAGAAGACGAAGGAAGATGAATGCTAGGATACGTGCATTACAGGAAATGAATCCTAGCTCGAGTTTAATCCCTAAACTGAAAACGGAGGTTTCACTGCTGTGTTACTCCATACAGGAAGGGACCCTTGAGAAACTGAACAAAAAAGAACTCCGGGCAGTCGATGCAATAAAGAAGAACCCCAAATACTTCTTTTCGTATGCCAAGCGTCTCCAGAAGACCAGATCTACGATCCCGGTGTTGAGAGATGAGACTGGGGCATTAGTGGACGACCCCAGTATCAAGGCAGAGTTACTTCAGAAGCAGTACCAGAAGGTATTTAGTAACCCTATGAGTGCCGATATTGATGAATGTATGAAGAGTCAAGGATTACCTCAGGGACTGGATTCCGGATTCAACGAGCTAAGCTTCACAAGAAAAGATATCATTGAAGCATTAGGAGAACTGGATCCCTATTCGGCCGCACCTGACGGAGAGATTCCTGCTAGGATACTCACAGCCTGCAAAGAACAACTTGCAGACCCGCTTACACTCCTCTGGCAGGAATCGTTCAGCAGTGGGTATATACCAGCGGAATTAAAGACCCAATATATCACCCCTATCTATAAGAAGGGGGACAGAACGGACCCAGCAAACTATAGACCAGTGTCTTTAACCTCGCACATCATAAAGACATTTGAGCGTGTAATCAGAAAAAACCTGGTTCGTCATTTGGAAGAGAACATGATGATCAATACGAACCAGCATGGGTTCAGAAAAAAGAGGAGTTGCATGACGCAGCTTCTCAGTCACATCGAACAGATCTACAAATCACTCAACAATGATGAAGAAGTTGATGTGATTTACCTCGACTTTGCCAAAGCTTTTGACAAGGTCGACCATGCAGTGCTGCTAGCCAAGCTTGGTCGATACGGAATTGGTGGTCAGGTTTTAAGGTGGATCAAAGAGTTTTTGCTAAACAGAAAACAAACAGTCGTTGTTGAAGGTCGCAAATCATCCTTCCAGCCAGTGGCAAGTGGGGTGCCACAAGGGACAGTCCTAGGACCGATCCTATTTATCCTGTACATCAACGATCTGTTGAACAGCATTAGCTATAGTAACGGATTCAGCTTTGCAGACGACACAAAGCTGATTGGGGCTATCCGAGGAATGAGTAGTGTGGAGTTACTGCAAGATGATCTCAACATAGTCATCGAGTGGTCACGTGTTAACAACATGGAGCTACACGAACAGAAGTTTGAGGTTGTAAACTACCCCCTGAATGGATCAAAAGCTCTAAGAGAGCTCCCGTTCTACCCAGAGACTGTTGAGTATACTACACCAAAAGGACACGCAATATCACCACAGGAAACTGTCAGAGACCTTGGAGTGTATGTTAGCAGCAGTAGGTCATGGGGTCCTCACATTGAGAAGACAGTTCAAGGAGCTAGAAAAATGGCGGCTTGGACATTGAGTGCCTTTAGAGACCGGTCACAAGTAGTCATGCTGACTTTATACAAAAGCATGGTTCGCTCCAAGCTAGAGTACTGCTGTCCAGTCTGGAACCCTACAAAAGTCACAGAGATACAAAAGCTGGAGACTGTACAGAGATCCTTTACTAGAAAGATATCTGGCTGCCGTGATCTCCAGTACTGGGACAGGCTGAAGAAGCTTAAGTTGATGTCCCTCAGAGGCGGAGAGAGCGTTATTCCATTATTCATGTATGGAAAATTCTTAATGAACATGCTCCGAACGATACGGGCTTCGAGTTCAAGTCTCATCAAAGGCATGGTATTAAGGCAGAGATCCCAGCCATGAACAAAAGCGCACAGTTGTCGGTAAGAACAGATTACGACAACAGCTTTAGAGTTAGAGCAGCTCAGCTCTTCAACGTGCTCCCATCGGAGCTCCGGAGTATCACATTGCTAGACAGTTTCAAAGTTGGTCTAGGCAGATTTATGGAACAGTACCCAGACACACCACCGGTTCCGGGCTACACTCCGACAAACGATAACTCAATGCTGAGCTGGAGGAGGACGCACTCGATGCAGTTGTCCTGAGCACGCCCTGCCAAACTCACCAAAACGTACCAAAACGTACGTACGATTAGGAGTTAATGTCACGTGATTAGGAGTTAATGTCACGTGATGAGGAGTTAATGTCACGTGATGAGGAGTTAATGTCACGTGATGAGGGCAGTGGTCACGTGATATTATTATGATGATTGTAAGTATTTTTATAGGCATCTTTTCATAATCACAAGTCAACAAGCCAACAAGTCAACAAGTAAACAAGTAAACAAGTCAACAAGTAAACAAGTGAACAAGTCAACAGAGCACTAACCTCAACATACAAAACTTCTGGAAGTTTCTTTCTTAAAGCTTCTAGAAGCTTCTAGAAAGAAGCTTAGTACCACTAACCTTAGTTATGGCTCTCATTTCAACGAGATACACAAAGTACAGGTTCTTCAGCCAGTGTGGCCCTTCTCCAGCTGTGGATTCCGGTAAAAACCTTCTCGTAAATTCTGCCAAGTTAGGTCCCCACTTCTGTCCGAAAAAATCTGAAGACATTATATACAGATTATAGACGATTTAAAACATGTATTTTGAAAGCTCCTGCTAAAACAAACTTTTCGTATCTCTTATATGTTTTAAAACAAATCCCCCTCCAGGTTACAGATTTTAACGGTGAGATAAAAACTGAAATGTGCACTATACTATACTAAAACCCTGTAAATATTATTGTTATTCCAAGCTTTCCAAAACCGTGTTTTAAATAATCAGCGATATGAGAAATCAATTTAACTAGCGTATCTTTGAATTTACGCCGTATTATGCCCTAAACATAAATACCCCGTATTAAATACGGGGTATTTAGCAAATATCCTAACCTTGGACTGGGTATTTAGCAGCTAGATGTATGCTGATTGAGGAATGTAATCCCGAGACTGCTCTGAAGAATACACGCTTCTCTTTACACATATAGTTGATTGACTTGTGTGTCAGATCTAGAAACAAACTGTCTTTCTTCGGTCTGAAACGAAGTTATTATGTTACTAGTGTAACCCGTGCCTACGGCCGGGACTTCACTATCGCAGTGGAAATGCAAAAGTAAAAACCCGCCTATTATATTTGAAAACACGCATAACATTGTCGTATGAAAGTATGAACTCTCTCTCTACAGTCCAAACAGACCGCAATGAGTACAATCCCCCCTTATAGTATTATCTTGTGGCTAACCTAATTATGATTCATGTACCAACGCTACATAATATACAGTTATGGGAGAGAGATAGCGAGGAGGGAGAAAAATAGAGGCAATATTTTGTAAATTACAAATTACAACACACTAACTTGAAACAGTTCTCCTGATAAATGCTTCTCCAGATCCTCCATGAAGGTTCGCCGCTATATCCCGTATAACTCTCAGGATTCTGAAGCAAGTCGTAGAACTCCGCCTTCTCAGAATCTTCATCTGTTATGAACAAAGTTAATTAAGAAAATGGATAACTAGGTGTTTTTAGTATTTATATTTTGGAAAATATTTGCCAGTTTATTAGATTTGCCAGTTTATTAGCGTGGACGATTGTTTGGAAAATTTGTGTGATTCCATACAAAATAACGTTCGCGCGCGCCGCATATGTCGGTATGTAGAACTTCCAAATTGCACTTGCCCGAAAATCAAGGCTATAAAGTATAACTGTATACCTTTTCCAAAACCTACCAGCATCAAAATGTATTACTATTAGTTTACCTTACTCGGGAACATTATAGCGGGTTAATTTATGACTGGGAAAATTAATGACCGGGAAAAATATGGCGGAATTTTCCAAAACCCACCACTTTATCCCAGTCATAATATTCCCGAGTAAGGTAAATAGTGTTTACATACCAACCTTGATGCCATTTTCTTACCTTCTTGTACACAAAAGTTAATATTATCAGACTCCTGTTTCTCCAGATTCTGAAGGGCAGCTATTCGGTCATCGCTGAAATGGACATAATATTGTTTAGTTGAAGTAGCAATGATTAATTTAATCGGTGATAAATTGACCACGAGCTGAGCCCCATGGAGGGGGAAGTTATTAGCATATTGAGACAGTTTTAAAGCATTTTCACGATATAACTGTAGCAGTAAATCCAAATAATGGGATTCCCACAAACAGTAATAACGTCACACACTGCACCACATTCATTCACTTGAGGCAACCAATTACCATACTTATATTATAATAATTAAATAACCCACTTGTATTAGGGAACTAACAGTTCGAAATGCGCGGCTCCACCTGGGCACGTGTCGTCTGAGATATCGAAGCTTATTCTCGAACATTCTCAGCGCATAGTCTACATTGTATTGGGACTATGAGGAATGTTCCAGGTAGATGCCCCCCTCCCCCCTCCCTCTAGAAGGTTACTAATTACCAATTACTAATTACTAATTACCTTATAAAATTGTTGATCTTGCTGAGTTCCCTCTCCTCCTCACATGTAGGTATTGTTGACTTGTTTGTGTTTTCTGCTAACCCCGAGGGTACCTCCGCCTGTCAAAAAGTC